CTCTACCTAATGCCTCTGTGTATTTCCTCAGGCCTCGTCTCCACATCATCTGTTTATCTCTACGTGGTATCCTCCAGCTAGGAGCGGCAGTCGAAATCTGCATACATACCGTTTCAAGCATTCTGACCTGAGAAGAAACGACAACAAGAACGCCACTGCTGCCGGTTCGCTGCCATATCCTGCAATGTCTCCAACCAACCAGTTGTGGAGTCTTTCGGGCCCCAACATGGAAGGCGAGAGACACCTACTCTACCTAATGGCTCTGTTCATTTCTTCATGTCTCGTCTCCACGTCATATGTTGACCTCCACGTGGTTTCCTCCAACCCGGATTAGCTACAGCGAATAAAGCGCGGTGCGGCAGACGACGGCTGGGCATACGCAATACGTGCCCTAGCCAGCGAAGCCTACTAATCTGAATTCGGTGTGCTAACAGGTTTATACCTGATAGACTTTCAAACACGACTTCTTACCTCCAGATTAGTAACCCGTTCGCTCCATCCCACGTGGGCTAAACTACGTAAACAATGATAATCGAAAACTTATAATCGATGGATATCTTCTAGGCGTAAATTCAAGGTCTCATAACCATAAAACAGACTTGAACAAACGCCAGCAAAATATACACGACCTTTCAACTTCAGTGAAACGTCACTTCTACGCCAAAGGTGTTTCGGTCCTGCGTATGCTGCTCGAGCTTTGGAACTGCGGGCGGTAATCTCTTTTGTTGCGTTACTGTCATTGGTCACGCAACTACCAGAGTGGGAGTAGGTGAAGCCCAGTCTTGCAGCATCACTTTGAACTTTGAAGGTGCAAAGCATATACCGCATGTGACAACAGCACTTGTTAGTCTGTCAAGCGCGCTTTGTGCGTCCCCCGTACATTCGAACAGACAGACGATCCTCAGAGTTGATGTCACCTCTGAGCGAATATCGGCTAACACATCTGGTAGGATAGGAACGTCAACCACAGGGTAAACATCACGTTGTTATACTAAAAGACCATAGCGACAGTGTGACAACTCGAATTAATTAGTGTATAAAATTGGTCCGAGGGAGATCATATCTCCCTATCGATTTATGAATACTCCAATCAGGCTGAGGCTAAATTAATTGTACATTTCCCCTTTAAGAACAGGCAAAAAAACTAATGAGCACATGTGTTTAAAGTTCTACGTTGACTACGACAATTCACCAAAATAAAATAGGAGAACACNGGGGGGGGGGAGATGCCTGAAATACCCTGAATCAGACAGGCTGAGGTGAGAGCTACCATTCGATTAGACTGTAGCGAAATACCTAACTCTGTTACACGGAAAGAGGGTAAACAATTGACCAGAATCTGATAACCGTAGGTCAACGGATTATGCACATTTGGTTAGTGAATATACCCAGGAGAAGCGAGGGGTTTAATTTTATAATAGAATAACATTAACCGTGTAAAGAGTAAAGGCAATTTAGATTAGAAAGTGAACAGGTTCGGAACCTTTGCAAGCAAGTCCTAATTCTAGGAAAAAATTAGTGTCAAGAGTTGCGTTGTCACAATTCGCAATAATGTGGTAAAACTGATTAATAGTAGTAGTAGCCAGGTGATCAAGGGACCAGGGTCACTGTCGATGAGGTTTCTCTCCCTTCGGGCCGAGCGACACACTGTTGGTTCAACTCAACGAGATTGGAACACTTCACCTATTCGTTATAGGATTGAGTTACTCATGCAATGAGGGAGTTTTGCGAGCGGCATTATCCGAGAGCGGTCTCATTTGTCCCCAGTTTGAGGTTAAAATGAATGATGATTCATAAACCATGACAGCCAACCACGCAAATCAAAAATCTATCAGTTCAGTTCAGTTTTCAAAACCACTAGCCATGCACATTCGTGCGCTGGTTTTGGTTGTTCCCTTTTGGCTGCCCATTTTGATCAAGGAGGCGAGGAAAGATTGGAATCTTTAAATCGGTGTCAGAATGAAAATAGAGCATTCATGATGAAAAAGATAAAAAGGCCATTGAGTAGATGCACGAGCGTCACTGTTTCTGACTTTCAACAGTGTCAACCAGTGTCCTCGACCATCGATCGGTCCCGAGGTTTCCATCCAGAGAGGTGAACGCAACCAATATGAGCAAGCCTCCTGGTTCCTCACCCTCTTGCCAGAAGTCTTAGTTTTATTGCCCTTGACTTGTTATAACCACTACTTGCCTCGAAAAAAACATCACTCACCGTGACAACCTATTTGGTGACAGGTGTAACAGCAATCAACGTAATTTATGGAGGTCGAACAGTTGCTCCAATGGGTGATCCAAAGCTCTGCGCCTAACCTCAGCATTGCTCGTCCGGTTACCCAACCAGATTCGTGCAAAGTTGCGTAGACAGCGGTGTTCGAATCCCGAGTCTATCTTTATCCTGTTTTCATAAAGGCCAAATTTATACACCGTATAACAGCACCGACCCAACTGCTGCAGCAAACACTCGACCATTCACAGACAAAAGAATGTCGCGACAACGCCAGAGATCTCTCAATCTGTTAAATGCCAACCGAAACTGCTGTGTGCGAGCCGACACTTCATCCTTTATGCATCCGACAGGTGGAATATAGCAGTCCAGAAAATGTATAGAAAACATTAGAAGATAAGTCCGCATGTTCAAGGCTTTGATAGTTCTGTGAACATATTTTGATGGTTGAATAATTTAGGTGCTGAACTACAGACGAGGATTTACCTGATAAATTCCATTTACTCGTGTATCAAAAAGATTGACGCCCAACAAGCATGATAAGTAAGCCTTACGGTCGATCATAAGCATTCAAACAAACAACAGTTTACTGATACTGTGACATTCGTGGTTTGGTTTGTTTGTTTTGCGGCGGTGCAACTATTCCTAACATTGATTTGCAAAGTAGTGTGCGGCAGAATTTCATAAGAAGCTCTTAGATTAGTGACTTTCTCTATCCTTAAACTTGAGGGTGTAAGTTACTATTCGGGAGATTTAGTGACTGCTACCGTTGTTATCATTTTTGAGTGGAATATATTTGCAATACAAAGTAACGACGTACTTCACTGACTTAGATAACTGTTGCTATAAATCACAGTTGCTTTTAACTCATTTTTGCTGTTGTTATTGTTAAAATCAATAAAACATGGCGATTGCGATTAATCGGTAAATTTTGCCCAGATTCCGGTTGGGAAGTTGTGTCAGTCGTCACGACGAAAGGGTGGAAAAGGAGTCGAGAGAATGGTATACTAAATGAAAAGACAGCGGCTGAGTTTCGTGGAACGGAGTTCTTATTGAACTGAATGTTAAAATTTATGCATTCAGTAACGAACAACGTTGAACTTATTGTCTAGTCGCGTGTGGCAAATAACGGCGCAATTGAGGTGTTATTTTCAAGCTCACAAACGAAACACTGGTTTGAAAGTGACGCATACAGCTTGACAGATATTGCGCCTATTCTCGCAACCATTGACCCCACACTATGGTTTAGCAGTATCAGCAATCGTGCTACCGTTCAAACAATTCGAAAACAGATGACAATCGATAGGAAGAAAGGTAAAATTTATTTTGACCGAGAAGTGCGGGACCATCTTCCTCATGATAGAGCCGAATACAAGGAAATAAATATATATATATATATATATATATATATATATCTGTTCGCTAGGTGCGTGGAGTGAACTGATCCCTAGACGGGTTTCGAGTGTGCTCGGTTTTCCAACCTGTATGGTAAAACCACCTGCCACCTCCACCGTGTGAGTTTGGCGTTGACCTTGTATTTTGGTGCATTGGGACTCCAACTGGTTGGAGCCTCATTACAAATAAACGACCACCGAAAGGAATCAAATCTATCACTGGTCATTTACAGGTGGATCCGTTGTGCTCAGGTGATTTTCTATCTGAACCTGAAATGCATCAATCAAATACCTACTAGACCATCAATATAACCAGATGACGATATGAAGCTGCTTCTTTTGGGGTTGCTGAAGAGACCTACTCATGAAACGTTTAGAAGTTAAGCGCTAAGCTCGGGGAACAAAACACAATCGAAACTGATTGTTTTAGCTAAGGATATTTATTCGGTCAATATTTTTATCCTGTAAATTTATGGATACTCGCGTCTGAAGAGTATGCTTAGTTAGGATTTGTGGCATTAGCAGATCGGGTGTTATTATCGGAATATTCCGAGCTATCCGGTTTTCTCTTATTGTCACAAACCTTAGAATGATTGGTAACAACAAATCGAGGCTTATATTTTCCGCCAGTTTCCCGATGCAAAGTAATCCACAGTATCTTCGATCCGAGAGAATCCGATAGATAAATGATGAGAGAAAAACAAGCGCAAAGATCACAACAAAATCGATCACACTATGACACTGTGGATCGAGCAGGGGTGGAGATAAGTTTGGTGTGAATTAAAATGTATCACTCACTCGAATGTAATTTGCATTAATGTAACTGGTGGCCGGATCGTTGTTGATTGTGGGTAGAACCACGCGCGTTGCGAAGTCTGCAACGTGTTCGCATGCGTGAGGAGAATAGCAAGCGCGAGCGAAGACAACCGGATTTAGGGGCGGAACGTATAGATGAAAAAAGGGAAAATGGGGGAACGGATGCTTTTAGTTCTAGAATGATTAGTTCTCTTCAAATGCGTGGTAAACCAGCAACACCATTACAATAGAAGGACAAATAGCTAAACACTACCATATTGCAATGGACAGCATCAAACACTCGCAAGGTCATGTAACGTGTGAAAGTCAATATCGCAGACAATGGGACGCCTATGCCTATGCGTGACAATATTCTCCGAGTCAACGATGATACAAACCCCCGAGTGTAATCGGAATTCCAACTGTTGTGCATCGCTTGCAGGAAACTAAATGAAGACTGTGCTACCGAAGGTATATACGTACAAAGTATTTACAGTGTGAAACGGTGGTTTTGTTAGACTAATTACATTTCTACAAAGGCGCTTTCTGAAATGAGGTTACAAAGTGAAGGAGATCTAAAAAAGAGGGATCGAGCCGCATGTTGCGTGCTCCATTTCAACCAATTGGAGAACTTCACACCTTTTACAACCCGACAAAAACTCTTGAAGAAGCATAATGTTGTATGCGTGTGTCTGTTTTGTGGAGGAAAAAAGTATAACAGTTTACGGACAAGCATTCCGAGGACCAATCAAGTGCTCATTGAAAGCATATCACAAGGTTAAATATGTCCGCTTTATTTGGTCCTATCGATCCACGTAAAAAGGGTATTCCGCCCAGCGAGGCGAACGCTTTGTGCGGGCGGGGGGGGGGACCTACGCGAGTTTTTCAATCGTTGTCAGGTTTATGGATTGAAATCAATTGAGCAAACAGGATTGCGTGAAACGATAAAGCAAAGAAGCGCGGGTTGAACTTGACCCTGTGTTAAAACAAGCAAGGATGTACCGATCAAGGAAGGAGTTGCTAATTTTACCTAAACGAATGAGATCGAATAGCCGTGACGAGAGAATACGTCATTTTTGGAAATAATGTAACGACAGTAGACATAATGCTAAGATCAAACAGTCTACGGGATTTCAATAAGCTTAAAATGTGTATAATTGAAACCTATACGAAGCACTGTTTGGTCTTTATACGAACATTTTCAACCATCGATAATCAGTTCCCATATGGAGCCGCACGACTCTGCGCACAAGTGACAGGGATCGCATCGATCGCTCGGGAGACGAGCCATCCGAGTGAGGAGGATAGCATAAACTAAACCTTTTCCCATCAAGCTTCAGCCAAAATCTGCAGTCCTTTAGTCGCGACCCGTAATCCTTTGGCATTGACTCACATTCCAACAGCCAAAACCTGCAGTGCTTTGGCCACGACCCGTAGTCTTTAGCCTAGACGCACAAACTCTAGTCATATCGGTGTGGGCGAGTCAGATCAAAAGTGAGGTCAACGAATGTGGAAAAAAGGTATTTTCTACAAATGTTGATGTTGCAAGGCTTGGCCAAAAAATGAGAGGACGTGGTGTTCACACGCAGCTCCACATGTTGATTGGAGAAGGTTAAAACGATGTGCCCATATAATCAAACCATTTGACATATCTCGTACAGCTCCGTGCATCCGTGTAGCGTACGATAATCCTGTGAATAAAGATCTCAGGGATAGCACAAATGGTGTATTGTTTTTCATTCACAAAATCAAAGTAGTGAAGGCTTACTGTTGCGTATCTCTAGTTCAAGTGAACTCTGTTCTTGAGATGTGTTCCATTTACCATGCCGTGGATAATGAACACCGTTCACAAAAATACACTCCCCCCCCCCCCGCATTACTACCATCAGTTTATTACCGCTGTAACATTTGAAAAGTTATCACGTTCGAGGCACAAAATTTACGGGTTTCGTCTAAAGCTTGATAGGACAAGGTCTACGTGTTGATTAAGATACAGGCTCATGCGTACTTCTATCCAAAGGAAATTTCTGGATTGTTATTCAGAATGTAACTTTAAGTCAAATTATCATCTCGTGCACATGAGCGAGCGGGGATGAGAAAGCTATGAAGGCAGAGTAAGACTCTTGTGTTCGTGGTCATAGCGAAATTATAAGTAGGAAACACACGTGAAATTTAAGCTTGGATACGAAAAATCTTGAGTTCTATCGATGATAACTTTTAGTGTTTCAATATCTACCGATTTTTAGTGCTCTGTCACACTACGTGATGCACACATTGAAATTTGTTGTGTCGTTGAACGTTAAATGCATCCGACGTAGAGACGGCTCCGTTCAAAGACGTAAAAAGGAAAACGTGAATTAAAATGAGCCTCAGATCGGAATGTGATAGAAACATTCGGAACTCCGCGTGGATACGCGTTTCGAGATTGTATAAATCGAATCAAACACAACGAGATACAGATGATTAAAATAGACAGAGAGTACAAGTCTACTTTGACGAGTGGTCACGGTTGTATGAAAATTATTGTCTGTCGCATACATATAAACACCATCATGCAAACATTCAAGGATTCCTCTAATACAAGAGGAATATTAATGTCAGGTAAGTCATTTCTGCAAACCTCCCACGTGTACGGTGATTCACTAAATCCCGATGAACAAATGACAAGCAGTAAAATATCTTACCACTGTTAATGTGCTAGTTAATCCACAGATACTCACTGGCATGGACAGAACGGTGAGACTATGTGCACATTTTTTCAGTAGAGCTGCTATCCCGCAAACCAAAATTGTGCCTTCTGAAATATGACCGTTTCTATGTCTCGGAGTTAGTTGCAGCACCAACCAAGCAATCCCCTGTGGCGGCTTCGGTGGCTCCTTTTTGGGTGCCCAATTAGAGGGAAGATAGTAATAATGAAAACCGTATGAAGATGAAAACAGAGAGTAAAGTTGGTAGATTGAAGCTGCAAGGACACTGAGCACCACTCTTAAGAACATTCAGTGTCTTTGACCACGGATCACATTGATCCCGAAGTTTCCATCCAGGAAGCCGAACGCGACCTATGTCAAGGTTCCATACCCTTACGACAGGTTTTAGTCTGACCACCCTTGACTTTTTCTACTCATTACCTAGCCAGGAAAATATTGTATCAGAATTAATGGTTACACAATTACAAATTCTACCACAAGGGTGTGAAATATTTTTCAGTTATCGAGAGTCTACATTTTTCCACTCCGGAGTTCGCAATATGACATTATGGAAATAGGGCGTGAATAAGTGGCAAACCCCGAAGGGGCCGATGATTTATCTGTTGAATTACTGAGCGGCATGGTCTGAGATACGATGAAGTGGGTCTTATGGCTCTTATTCTCTCGGGTGCAAGAATCTGTTGCGGATAAATTTCTAACCAAATGAAACTCTGACAACTAGTGGTTGAAAAACGATGCGAAAATTCTAAGTTACACCAATCAAGACGTCATAGAAACACTACCGAACGGTTTAAAGACAGGAAAGTCGATAGAGGACAAAAACAATGATTAGTAATTATTTTAAATGACTGTATCATAAAGTTTTATCCATTGTTTCTTTTTACTAAAGGGTGCTTGGTATTCAAGCAAATCATTTATTGGCTACTTGAAACCATAGTTACACTGAACAATAACTTCCTAATTTACGTATGCAGGTATGAACGTATGCATAACCAGATACGAGTTTGGTTCAATTTAATATATAATTGAATCGATTCATGTGTGGGTAGGAAAAAAACAAACAAATCTGATGTTCACGGCCATCCCGTCGCTCACTCGGGCACACATGAGCTGTCTAAATTTAGTACATTCCTCTCACTCGCGTTCATTCGTTCGTTCATCTTACTCAAACACCAAATCCGAATTATTCCTCTTTTTGTCATAAGACCACTTGAACCGCTCGTCTATTTGGCGATTTACGATGGCGGTGGCATTTATCTTGGCAATATAATGATGAGCGTCCCATATTCGGGGTGTTAGGAAGTGTAAAACACAGACGAACACGGATAATCACGAGCAAAATTATCACTGTCAGGAAAAATGAAATCAGTTAATTTGGCATACTTCAAGCCTGATGAATAAGATAGGTGGGGCTGAGCGAAGTGCTCAAGACACTTTCTAAGTTCGCTTTACACGTATGTAATGAGACAAGGATTTAGCTAACGCGTACCATTTGACATAGTTGTTATATTACAAAGATCATTATAAATCGAATGCCTTCATGAACTTGACTCACTTGGAAGAATAGACTGGTATCGATTTTTCTGTCCGATTCCCGAAATAGGTAGGTCCTTCTTGCTGGCATGATTCATTGGTATATTCCAGAATTCTGCGGACAAAGAAGACGCGTTATCCCGTAATTTGGCCAGCATTTCTTCGCACGTCATCGGTTGGGATGCATTCATCAGCTGTTCCACATCTCGACTGCGTTGACATGATTGACTGCCGTGTGGACAAGGCAAATTGTTATCCGTTCGACAATAAGTTCCATGAAATTGATGATGCCGATGGTGATGATGATGGTAATGATGATGGTGATGATGATGATGGTGATGATGATGATGATAGTAATGACACAGTGGATGAGCTAGTCGCTGAGTGATCGGATCAACCAACGGATCACGCGAGTCGTTCCCGTGTGGTGACGAACTAGGCCCTCGGTCATTAGAGTTTTTCAACTCCTCAGACGATGGATCTTGTGCGTGCTGTGTATCGTGCACGCATGGCTCGGGGTCCGCTAGAACCACGGCTGAGTCAGATGACGATTCAGCTAGCTGAGATGGACAGAATTGACCCCCTGAATGAACGGCAGCTGAACTTAATCGCGAATCCGCAAGCAGAGCCATTTCAGATCCGACGCAGACACTAGTTTCATCCAAACTGGTCGCAGCAAGAGGAGCATCATGATCAGTCGAGATCAAACCAGCAGAACAAGGAGCCAGTGGGGTCTCGACAGATGGGGACAAGGATAAAGTGAGTGAGGTATGCGATCCACGTCGGCTGAAGGGCCGAAAGCAAAACAGCGAAGGGTAGGCGGGTGATTAATGGACGGATTTGGTAGAATTGTAAACACCGTCCGATTAGATTAAAAGGAAGATTGGATTAATTGCGGGAGGCTGACTAACGTGATTCAAAAAAGGAAAAGGGACAAACAAATCTAGATTAGCATACACGTAGTTGCGAGAAAAACGTTATTTGTATTATCACAGGAAAGTTATAAACTAGTTCGCATAGTTCACCTGTGCTTATCATACAGCATGCAAATAAGCAACAACAACAACAACGGCATCAGAAAATACCCGCTTCGGATCAGTCAATCATCGATCGCTTTATCACACAAAAGCAAAGCGAAAAAAAATTAACGTCCAATAGACCGAGGGAATACCTCTGTCATGACAGTCGCCGTCCCCATAATAGGCGCATACTGCAGGAATGAGGTAAACTTCCAATACCCTTCGTTCGAATCAGGCAGGCAAGCAATTACAAGCGGTATACAACCCTCAAGTGTTACTGATAAAGGAACGGTCCTTTTTTTCGTACACAGTTCACCTGTATTGACCAGATAATCACTACAACACATTACAAAATCTATTATCGTTTGAGGTGTGAGCATCCTCGAGATAACAAGCCCTCATGATCATAATGACCGAAATGATGATTATGTTATCTGACGCCATCTGTACTGTGTGTGTGTGCGCGCGCGCGTAAGCAACGCTTACCATTTGGGTACTTTTACTGTTGCAATACAAGGACGAATTCGCCGTTGCATTGTACCACATGATTAATCGCTATCAGCATTTGAAAGTGATAGAATTGTGATTTAACCAGATACGGGATTGAGTCGAACTGAGCGTATGAAAGAACCTCGACGGTTCGCAAATTTTCGGGTTCTCTAATTGTCCAACTGTTCAACACCCACACTCCTCATGAAGTGAGGAAGAATGTTATTTATGAGTGAAAGGTTATCTCGAAAGAATTAGGAATTCCGAAAAACGGAAGTCCGGTATTTTTTCGGCTAGACATCAAACTAGTCAATTTGGGACAAACTGAGATCAAAATCTCTACAAAACAGCGAACAATCATTCAAACCAAGACAAGAATAGCTTTATTCGTCTCGGTGGATGAATTTGCAGGTCATAAATATATTTACCTGGCAGCAACTTCTGTATGGTAATATTCGAGTTATGAATGTAATGTCGAATAGACCACATGCTAACTAATCTAACAGCTTATGAAAAGCTTTGTCAAAAACGCTGTTTATGCGGACTGGGTATTTCGTAGCGAAATACGTTCACGGTATGTTTCTCTCTGTCTCGTGAAAAAAATGGACAGAAAAAATCGAACACTCGCTAAAATAACATTATTTTCATTATATGACACCGTGCATCAGTCACCGTTAATCTTGTTATTTATCATAAACATCACCATCACAACTAGCACCAACAGCGACAACATGTCCATGCCTTACCGACGGACAAATGTAATGGTCTTTATGTAAGTATACATGCGTTAAGCTGTTCAACTCAACCTTTTGAAACCAACTGGTGAGTAAAGAATACGGAAATTTGATTTCTGTTAAAAATTATAGAATAATTGAACAGCTAATCTGTAATCAATCATTCCTTTGGGGATCACCTAATTTGATAAAATTTATGGTTAGTCATTGGCATAACAATAAAAATGTGGTTGCTCAACACCGGGTACACCAGATGTCATGGCTACAGAATATATTAGGGACGTTCAAACCAAAATAAGGCCACATAGCAGCAGGTAGACTGGCCGCGAACAAAAACTAATGAAGCGGGCGGTTGAGTGAACCATGTTCGATACCGGTTCAAGCAAAATACCGGCACAGTACAATGACATTGCAGAAAAGTAGAAGAGAAAAACAATTTGTGGTTATAGTTGTGGCGGGGGAGGTATATTAGCGAATAGTGGTAAGAAGGGGAAAGGGTGAAGAAGGCAGCCACTGCAGTTACAAAAGAAAGGTCATATGGGCCGGAGTGAGTTTCACAGAGCGGGAAGAGGGAGATTAGTGCACGCGCCCAACGCAGCAGTGGATCCTGTTCTCCTCGCAAACAGAAGAGTGTCCATGTTTCATTTGGTCTACAGTAGTCATCTTAATATTGAGTGTTACCTTACACACCATTACATTCGTCATCCACGATGACAGACCACGGAAATCAGTACCGATGTGAAATTGATTGCTATTCAACACCCATCTCAGTCTGAGTTGACCCCCGATAAGGACGGACCGTAAGACGTTTGGTGAGTATTGTTTAAATTTTCCAAACGCTCTTATCGATTCTAATCGTCATCTGCTCTACGATCACGAACAGCGGCATTTGCAGACACTGAATACTATGAAAGGCTCGGCACGATCGAGGGTTCGTGAACGGGGAACTGTTGCAGTTCATGGTCGATCTAACAAGAACTGATAGGATCGCATCTTGGCAATTAGTGTAGGGGGTGATCTTAATTCGTGAACGTTTTGCTCGGATATAGTCGAAATGGTACCTAGAAGCAGAATATAATGATAGCCATCTCTAACAATCATTCTAATCTTCTAGAGACATGACGATAAACAGAATAAATACCTTTTTCAGATCCGTGGAGAAATAAAATATGCTACAATAATAATAAGAATAGTAATAATAATTATACTTCTTTTCAGACTGAATACAATAGTCGAATCAACCTCAAAAAAGGCTCTGCCCCGGGGATAAATGCATATATTAGTCGAAATTAATTTTCCCACACTTAATAAGTAACATCAAGCCCGTTCGGTAGGTTAATACCCCAAATGTGGTGCCGAAATGTCGTTGCATTACACGCTTCCAGAACTAGTGTGATTTTTGTTTAAGTTTCCCCGATAGATGTATCTGATATACACTTTTGTCGGCAAGTTTGCACGTACGCTTCAACCCAACAACCCATCCACCGACGCCTTCCTGCCACCCTCCTACGCATAAAGACTTTTTCAACCAAATTTGTGATAACATGCGTTTTGAACCGAGACGTGTCGTTTTCCAGTTGCTCTTGGCTAGTGGCGGGGCCGCTGGCCAGCTAAGATTGTACCGCGTCGCACATGAGCTCTCGCCATTGATCACATCTCCGGTAAACCGATATCAATCACGTCCTCTTCCATTCCACCCAATCACATTGGTTGGTTGGATCACTCCGACGAATGGATGTGTGGGAGAAAGCGGATAATTTTGTGGGCGCCTATGTACCGATTACTTAGATTGGTCTAAATTTCGAGTCATGCGAATCGTAGTCAATATAGTACAATCGTACCCAATTGGGGTTTCTTTCGAATAATAACTTCTAGTTATTAGCTGTTGCTTTCCGTTATGCAACACCCTTATTGATAAATGAGTTCATTGATTCAAACCTTCATGGAAGCGTAGACAAAATGATCTATGTCGAAACCACTAAAAAGGGGAATGACACTTGAGTGGTGTTTTTGGAAAATTCTTCCTCACTTATGAACAATGAATAGCTCAGAGAGCAACTCTTTTTCTAGTGTTCGTAAACGGTTGAAATGTTAACGGCACTCAATTTTTGTAACAGTTTAATTTGAGTTCAACGAAATTTGGTGCCCTGGGGATCAAAACAAATCGAATTATTGAACAGAAAGCTTTTTTATATGTTCTTTGGATATAGCTTTCTTGGTGTGATTCTATCACATGCAATCACAAAAATTAAACAATGCGAACACGCAGCAACTTGGATAACCTACCTCTCTAACAGCCCTCTGGTTCTGGTGCGTAACGGGGTAGAATGGATTTTGATCAGCGCTGATGCACTTCTTGGTGGTTCTTGCGCGGAAGATGAACACGATGAGGAGGAACGACCGAATTTAGTATGGCTTGCTAAACTTGGGCTCACGAGGGCAGAAAATCGAGCAGGCATGAAATAGCCCCGGGGCAATCCTGACTCCCGTTTGGAATCAGTTGGGCCAGCGGATGCGCATAAGATTGTATGCGTAGAACACATACAAGCAGTAGGACCGCTAGTGGTCACGTCCGGTCCCGTAGTGGAGACAGGGCATTNNGGCATTCAGAATGATTCAACCAATCAGCTTCACTGGGAGATCCAGGACGATACTGTGAATTTTTTGACGGTTGAACTGGAATAGCTCTCGTCTGAATGGGGGGACTGGGTGTGAGAATTGACGGCATCGCGGTGTGCAACAAAGGAGGCGGTGGGACAGCGCGTCGACGAGAAGCGAGCGACGGAGATACGGACGGCTCAGCACATGAGAGATCCGTAATACTGTGCGGTGCGGATTTGAGTTTGCCAAACGGAATGGGAACCGGCGTAGCACATGAGGGCAACGAACCGATCTTTGCCGTGCTGGTGTCCAGCTCAGAATCATCTAAACTAGGACAAGCGGCCGTGGTGGACTGAAGCACAGCCAAATCGGTGGCAGCACGCGCACGGACCGCGGTTGGAAGGCAACAATCCAAACAACCGTAGCACGGCTTCAAAAGTGGTCTGCTTGCGACAGTCTGACCCTGTTCGATTGGAGCCTCGGGTCCTTCTCCGTGTCCAACTGTTTGCGGTTTTGATGATGCACCCAGCCCACTGGAGTTGGTTAGATTTTCCTCAGCCGATTCCTTGTCCTCAATCACCTGATTCGTCTCGGGGTCCGGTCGTCTGGCTAGAGCAGATCGACTACCATGCTTCTGATANCACACCAAAATGTCTGTCCGGGATGCGAGAAAAAAAACGGATCTCGGTAACCACAGTAACCAAATACCACTGTGTTGGAGAAAACAGAAGTCAGAACATATGCACTAGATTGTCACTAATCAAGCAAACAAGATAACAAAACCGCTCCCACATTATGTAAGAAAGAAACATTACCACTCCAACCTAGAATAAAATAAGACATCACTTCGCAGGATTATGAAATCTGGACCTCGAAATCGGATCGACTATACGATATATCTGTATAATATTACACGCGCTGAGACAAGCATGTGATCAACAAATGAAAAGAAATTAAACAGCTTTAGCACAAAGAAAGAAGTTGCTGGAGGAGAATTCCCTTGGTCACAAATAATGCAGTAACAAATTATTGCATTACTTTCTATTTACAAATTGGAGATCAGATCTTTCTAGGGAGATTAGTTGGATATAAATCAATGAAAAACCGGAATAATTCAACTACGCACAGTCAGTCTGTCTGATGAAAGCGCTAAAAAGAAATGCTTCATGACCACTCGCACCGTAAGTTAAAACTCTTCACGGCAGTACGAAGCAAAAAACAAGGCGAAACCAACAAATTGAAAACAATCACATTCATTTCGTCTCCTGCTCACTGATATGGTTCGCAGAACAAACTGATAAATCGTATCTGTCGGAGGTTTACTTACACCGGATCGTATATACATGTATATTTCACACTTCCTTGAGGACAGACTGCGTGCAACGTACAATAAACTTTATAAAACAGAAAAAAACGGATTGTATGCAAGAATGGGAATCAGTAAGCCGTGTTCAGCAGATCAAATCAAACAGACAAACACACGTTACTTTTCAGCTTTAGCAGTTTCGAACTATGACACGAGAAATGTGTCAATGCATGAATCTACGAAGAGAAACTTGTAAAGTGAACTTTTGAGATACACGTGGCGTAAGAATCTTATGGAACTCAATAAGCTTCGTGTTTGTAATCAAACCATAATACACACCTTGGAAGTTAGAAGAGTTAAACCTGAGTGGCCGTAAGTGAGTGACAAAACTGCAAATGATCAACATCGAACCACTTTCTTGATTGGATGAGTGCTAAAGAGTCACCAATGGATGGAGCCTCTGGTATATGTGGATAAACTACTCTTAAACGAAAGGCATTTATCAGTTTTACATGCAGACAGTTGAGTCCGAAGTTTTTACGA